ATCAGTAATATTTCTGTTATTAATCATTATTCTCTTTTCATCATTCTGGTTTATCCAAGGCCAAAGATCCATAGTTGTCCATCTGAGGGGCACGTGTCTAAAAAAATCTTAACCATGAAATGTTTAAGATGTTTATAAGACGTTCAGCCCTTAAAAATTTGCACTTAGAATTTTATAGAATCACTTTAAATACTTCTCAGTAAGATAAATGTCTATAATTCTGGTTCAAATAAATAACTTTATGTTTACTAGATTGTTAACTAATTATTTTTGAGTTAATGTTGCCTTAATGAACAGTGATTTCAAAAAATAACCTGTAAAACTCTGATGTTAAATGCAGCGTGGTTGAAAATTTGGGTGCACCAAAGAAAAAATGTTTGGCGCACCAGTGCAAAAAGTTAGTCTAGAGCCCTGTGTATTGACAAACATTGACATGTAGGGCCCTCACAATTAATTGTGGTGTTTAGTAGGGTTGGGCATAATCATATGTGTGCGATTAATCGTCAGAAAAAAGTTAATCGATTTTTTTTGGCACTTGACGATTAATACGATTAATGTCAGTCAGTCCGCTCGGTGCTCCTCTCTGCTTCAAATATGACGAAAAAAGTTGTGTAATTAATTTATCTATCAACACAATTTTAAATTTGATGTACAGCCTGAAGAAGTCCGCAATTTTGACACAATTTGGAACAGATTTTTTATGAAGAATCTTTCCCACTAAATTGGTCATGTGACTAACGGGTGTCCAGGGACTCCAGGGGATTAATCGTCAAATTAATCGTTATCGCCTAATTAATCGTGATTAATGTTTTTTGGCAATATTGCCCAACCCAAGTGTTTAGTAGGGCTGGGTAAAAAAATTTATTTAGTCGATCTTCGTTTGATTTCATTTAAATTTGGGAAAATCGATTCACAGGGCACGAGATCAATTCCTCCCCATGGCGTCTTGTATGCACGTCTGAAACGCGTTTCTATATTTTGTCACTCCAGGCTTGCCGTAAGTCTACATCCTGTAGACGTTCAGTGCTAACGTTAGCTTTCGATAACAAGTTGTCTGGATCAAAACAAAAGAAACTGAGGAATCACTAACGTTACCAGCCGACTCTCAGCAGAACTTAAAGATAACAGAGACCATGTGACTTTTGTTTGCAAAGATTTGTGCTCCTACGTGGTAGCAGGAAACGAAGCAACAGAATGTAAACATCTGACTGAAACTGTTCTCCACAGCATGTATAAATGTGTTAAAGATGACATTATAACAAAATCATTTAGTTTTGTTACCAATATTATTATTATTTTTAAACTTTAAGAAACGTCTTAATGAAATCCACAGATGAAATGTTGTAGTTGTATTATTTGTTTTAATAAGGTATATGTAACAAGTTTTAATAGGTTATATTGGACATAACAGAAGCTAACAGAAACATTACAAATATGCAATTTTCATACACTCAAAAGGAGTGCGCAGAAGTATATTTATATTAGCCCACCTTTTCACTACTTATTTTCTTTATCAAGAAAATTAATTACTTAAAAATGAATGCATCCAACTAGGGGTGTCCCGATCCGATATCGATATCGGATATCGGTCCAATATCAGCCAAAAAACGAGTATCGGATTTTATCGGACTGCATAAAAAATGTCCGATATCAGCGCTCCGATATTAGCAGTCCGTTCCA